CATCATCATCATCATCATCATCATCATCATCATCATCATCATCATCATCATCATCATCATCATCATCAGCATCGTCATCATCAGCAGCATCATCATCAGCAGCAGCATCAGCATCATCATCATCAGCATCATCATCACCATCATCAATATCATCATCACCATCATTATCAGCATCATCAGCAACAGCATCATCATCATCAGTAGCATCATCATTTGCAGCAGCAGCATCAGCATCAGCATCGTCATCATCATCATCATCATCATCAGCAGCATGATCATCATCACCATCCTCATCAGCATCGCCATCATCATCATCAGCATCATCAGCATCAGCATCATCATCAGCATCATCATCATCATCATCATCATCATCATCATCGCCATTATCAGCATCATCACCATCAGCATCAGCAGCATCATCATCATCGCCATCATCATCATCATCATCATCAGCATCATCATCATCAGCATCATCATCATCAGCATCAGCATCATCATCAGCATCGTCAGCATCATCATCAGCATCATCATCATCATCAGTATCAGCATCATCATCATCGTCGTCAGCATCCTCATCATCATCAGCATCATCATCACCAACATCGTAATCATCATCATCATCAACATCATCATAAACAGCATCAGCATCCTCAGCAGCATCAGCAGCGTCATCATCATCGTCCTCCTCATCATCATCATCAGCATCATCATCATCATCAAAATCAGCATCGTCCTTCTAGTCCTCCGCCACAACCCCCCCCCCCAATCCCTATCCCTGTGTCCCTGTATCCTTACCCCTATATCCAGTGCCCTGTGTCCCCATCCCTTCCCCATCGTAATCCCCCCGTCGTGTCCCTCCCCCCCTCGTGGCCACCCATCGTGAACCCCGTTGTGGCCCCTATCGTAACTGTGTAAAGTTGTTTCGGGTTGTCTGCCACCACGCTGCAATTGTTCGATTAGCATCCGCGCAGCGCGGAGGGGGAAATACGATCACTAGACTCAGCTTCGGGAGAGACTGACCGACCGCGTCCAGCAAGCACGCAACAGCAAGAAGGGCTGCAGACTGCCTTACACAATTTCGACTTGATCTGCTGATGATGCTGATGATGCTGATGCTGGTGATGGTGGTGACGATAGTGATGATGATAATAATGATGATGACGATGATGTTGATGTTGATGGTGCTGGCGAGGATGATGATGATGATGATGACGCTGATGATGATGCTGATGATGATGATGACGATGATGATGGTGATGATGCTAATGATAGTGGTACTAATAGTGATGATGCTGCTGATGATGATGATCGTGATGATGATGGTGGCCCAGGCTGACCAACAACTCCGAGATAGGATCCACAGGGCGCAGCCTGGCGTGCAAGGGGCAAGTCCTCTCCAAGAAACCCCCTGCTTTCTGGACAGGAAGGTGGGCCGCGCGCGTGCGTAGCATGCGGATGCCAAGCCAAGCGTTGGATACGCATGCAGAGGGCCAAGCCTACCAAGACACACAACGGACGAACCCTGGAAAGACATGCGGCCATGTTTGTGTGTGGGGTTGCCTGTGTGTCCGCGCGTGTGTGTGTGTGTATGCTCGCCCTGTTCTTCTGCCCTTCACAATGCCTCTGTTTCGGTTCGGCTTTCCCCCGTTCGTACCCGTTCCTGCTGTCTCTCTCGCCCGCCTCGGCGCAACTGGACCTGGGGTAGAAGAAACTCCTTCCAGAACGCGAGACCCTCCGCCGGCCAAAACACACACACACACAGAACATCCAAAGGGTACGCCCCCCCCCCCAGGATGCACGAACGCACCCACCAAACACGAAAAACTCGAGGGCACCCTCCCCGAACCGACCTCGATCTATCACCTTGGTCCGACTGCGCGCACCTCCCCTTCGAGAGGCTGCATTTTGGCTGCGTCGTCCCCCCCCCTCTCGCCTTCTCCGCGGCCTTCTGCGCCTTCTGGGCTCGACGCGCCTTTTTGGCCGCCTGCTTTTCCGCCTCCTGGCCCTCCAACATGGTGGACACGGTCAGCCAAGCCTGCGGAGGAGGCAGAGGGATGGGGGGCATGGATGCAGGAAGGAAAAGGAAAAAGGAGCGAGCATCGAGTGGCCCCGCCGTTGCTAGCGAGGCGGCGAATGCGCACACAATCGCGGCACTCAAAGGCACGATCATGTACTTGCCCAACTTCCGGCCGAGAGAGGGACAGGAAGAGAGAGAGAGAGAGAAAGAGAGGGAAAGCAAGCAAACAAAAAGAGAGAGAGACAGAAACGGAGAGAGAGAGAGAGAGAGAGAGAACAAAAAAAAGAGAGAGAGAGAGAAGGGGGAAATAAGAGAGAGAGAGAGGAGGAACGAGAGAGAGAGAGAGCGGGAGAGGGCGAGAGAGAGAGAGAGTGAGAGAGCGGGAGGGAGGGAGGGAGGGTGGGAGGGAGAGACCTGGAGAAAGAGAGAGAGAGAGAACAAAACAAAGGCAAGGGAACACTTTTGTAATTGCTCTAAACTATAGCGCAACTATTCGGAAACTGCGCGTCCGTGCGTGGGACTACAAGCGCAACGCTCTGACAATAGGCATACAAAGGCGCACGGGCCGAAGTCCAACGATTTGATGAGATGGAGGCCTCCCCCCATCGATCCTCGGGACAGAGAAGAGAAGGCAGGAACGGAGAGGGGAAGGCCCAGGATGGCCCCACGATGCCGCCCCGGACACCCGAACGGAGGCGCCGTCCCACAGCGAAAGTCGACATGCGCCAAATCCGAGAGGCGAGCGGAACACACACACACACACACACAGCACAAGAATACCCAGCAGGGGGGCTCCGAGGCAAGCTTCTGCCCGAAGACCCCACCCCAACACGCAACCAGAGGAAAGAAAGCCCGGGACCCGAAACAACAGCAAATTTCTACGGGGGGCCAGGAAACACCGGAAGAGTCCCCCGCCGCACCTGGGGCGGAGGAGCGGCCACGCACGGCCTCAATCCCACCAGCCCGCTGGGCGTAGGTGGTCTAGAACAGATCCTCTTCCACCCCTCCCTCTTCCCCCTTGGGGAGGGGTTTACCCCTCCCCCTACCCCCTCCCCTGGACCTGGACGGAGGGTTCCGCGAGCGGTCGGACGGCTCTTTGGCCCCAAGATGGCTTCAAGAGCGCGTCACAGAGCCCAAGATGACCTCCAAGATGGCTCAAGATAGCGCAAGATTGCTCGAGATGGCTCCTAAGATGGTTCCCAGGGGCCCAAAGACGGCCCCAAGACGGCTCCAAGTGGCCAAAGAGCTCCCCAAGGAGGCCCCGAAGAGGCCAAAATCGTCCCAAAACCTTAGGGAAATCAATGTTTTGTTGTTTTCTCCCCGTTTCGCTTCCGATGGCCATCCAAGGCCTCAAGATGCCTCCAAGATGGCCCAAGCGGGCCCCACAAGAGGCCCAAGAGAGCCCCAAGACGGCCCCAAGAGCGCCCAAGAGCGCTCCAAGAGCGCCCCAAGAGCGCCCCAAGAGGCGATGTTTGGAGCTCCTGAGGGGGGAGGCTAATTAGGGAACCCCCCTTCGTTGATCGATCTCCTCCAAGATGGCCCCAAGAGCGCCCCTACAGCCCCCAAGAGCGCCCCAAGAGGCGCCCAGACGGCCCCAAGAGGCGCCCAAGAGGCCTCCAAGAGGCTCCCAAGAGACCCCCAAGAAGCCTCAAGAGGATCTCCGAAATGCATTTAAGACGCTTCTGGCTCTTCGGTTCGCCGTCCTCTTCAATCCCACCAGCCCTCTGGGCGTAGGTGGTCTAGAACAGATCCTCTTCCACCCCTCCCTCTTCCCCCTTGGGGAGGGGTTTACCCCTCCCCCATACCCCCTCCCCTGGACCTGGACGGAGGGTTCCGCGAGCGGTCGGACGGCTCTTTTGGCCCCAAGATGGCTTCAAGAGCGCGTCACAGAGCCCAAGATGAGCTCCAAGATGGCTCAAGATAGCGCAAGATCGCTCGAGATGGCTCCTAAGATGGCTCCAAGGGGCCCAAAGACGGCCCCAAGACGGCTCCAAGTGGCCAAAGAGTTCCCCAAGGAGGCCCCGAAGAGGCCAAAATCGTCCCAAAACCTTAGGGAAATCAATGTTTTGTTGTTTTCTCCCCGTTTCGCTTCCGATGGCCATCCAAGGCCTCAAGATGCCTCCAAGATGGCCCAAGCGGGCCCCACAAGAGGCCCAAGAGAGCCCCAAGACGGCCCCAAGAGCGCCCAAGAGCGCTCCAAGAGCGCCCCAAGAGCGCCCCAAGAGGCGATGTTGGAGCTCCTGAGGGGGGAGGCTAATTAGGGAACCCCCCTTCGTTGATCGATCTCCTCCAAGATGGCCCCAAGAGCGCCCCTACAGCCCCCAAGAGCGCCCCAAGAGCGCCCCAAGAGGCGCCCAGACGGCCCCAAGAGGCGCCCAAGAGGCCTCCAAGAGGCTCCCAAGAGACCCCCAAGAAGCCTCAAGAGGATCTCCGAAATGCATTTAAGACGCTTCTGGCTCTTCGGTTCGCCGTCCTCTTCAATTTCTCATCCCCCTCTTCCTCCTCCTCCTTCTCCTCCTTCTCCTCCTTCTCCTCCCTCTGCTCCTTCTCCTCCTTCTCGTCCTCCTCGTCCTCTCCCTACTCCACATCCTCCTCCTCATTCTCCTCCTCCTCCTCCTCCTCCTCCTCCTCCTCCTCCTCCTCCTCCTCCTCCTCCTCCCCCTCATCCTCCCCCTCCCCCTTTCCGACGAGGATTCTTTCTGCATCCTCCCCCTCTTGGGGTACGTGACAGCTTCCCCCGCCCTTTGTTATTCTGCATGCTCCCCGACTTCCCTGATCACCTCAACTCCCCTGGGCATCGTTTCTGGATGGGCTGGTGGGGATACGCGAAGCGTCAACAATTCAAACGTTGTTGAAGAGGAACATCGCGGAGTATAGATGAAAGAAGGTCTCGTAGCCGCAGATGTCCCAGTCCGAAGCAAACGCGGGCAAGAAGCGCAGGATGCCCATTGCGCCGCGGCAGGGCAACGGACGAAGAAACGGAAATCGAAGGATAGATAGTAAGGCGATATGATATAACGACGGTTTGCCCCATCGCGCGCACCGCGTCCACAGCCATCCTAACCCTCTCAGCACCGTGCCAATCGTAGCCCTGGCCAACGGCTCCCCTGCAGGCAAGCCAGGGACGACCCCTCTCCACGAATGCCGCCCCGGGCTGGGGTCGCTGGTGGGCGGCTGCGTTCGGCCCCGAACTCGAGGCCACGGCAGACCCGCTATACGACTCACGAACGCGATCGGCCGCGGCTCCGCGATCTGCCCATGTCGGGAGCCATCTAGACCCGCGCGCTGGGGGGCCAGATTCCTCATGCTGAGCCGACCACGCACGCTCGTTGACGGGCTCGGTCGCCCGGCGCAACTGACGCGAGGGTCGACTCCTTTACGGGTCAGCCGCCGACGCCGTTGGAGGGCGAGGTGGCCCGTAACCTGCTGGCACCGCGGCAGGCGCGCAGCGCGCGTCGATCTTGCCCGCGCAGAGCTCGACGGCGCTGCCTCGGGGGCGGGCCGCGTGGCGACTGGCCCCCGGCGACGGGCTGCCCCATCGCAGCGTTCGCGTCGGGTTGCCCCATCGCTGCTCCCGGCGCAGAACCTTCACTGGTCTGCGCCGTTCTCACTGGCGGCACAGCACGCGGCGCTAGCCCCGTGGAACTTGGAGCCCGAATCGGTTTCGAAGGAGGCGGCGCCTCATTCCCTTCATCGGCGGTGGCTGAGGCGACCAACTCAACTGGCGCACAGCGGTGGGATGCCCCTTCCGCGGGTGGCTAACTTCCACGTTGAGCAGGTCAGCGCGGCGCTTCCAGTGGGCCGCAGCTACGCGCGGGACGACAGCAGCCATTCTCGCGCCACCTTCCTCGGGCAGGCGGGCGATGCGACCCTGATCAATGCGCCCCTGCATCGCTGCAGGGCGTGGCTCGGCGGCCCGCGAATCGGGGCTGGCCAGCTCGCCGGCCGCGCTCGGGCCAACTGCTCCGAGATCGCGCCGATCCATCTTGCGCCGCTGTAGGTCCCGATTTCGGGTCGACCGACAATAATCATTGACGCATGTCTTTTGCGCAGAAGATGCCGCCCCCGCTGGGTCCGCATCCAAGGACGTCCCGGAGCTCGACCGGGTGCGCCGAAATCGCGCATGGCCACAGGGGGAGCGGCCACCTCCGTAGACCACCCTATCCCTATCAAGGAGCCCAGGAGCCAGCGCGTCGACCGCGCGGCGCGCGCGTCGGCGGTCGAAGTCTAGCCCAGCCACGCCCTCCTTCGCTGGTAAACGTCACCCTGTACACACGGCGCTGCCGGCCATGTCAGCGGGAGCGAGCGCAGAGAAATCGCGCGGACACAGCGCGCCCTGCCCTTTGCTCTACTCGTTCGTCCTGGACCGCCTCGTCGGCCACAGGCCAGCTGCTCCGCGCGCGGCGGGGCTGGGTCGCCCCACCAGCAAGCATTCCGAAAGATCAGGCCCCCCTGAACAAAGCCGAAACTGCCGTCCCGCGCCTTGACCCTAGCGATGCCCTTTGTCACGCTTATGCCCAACTTTCTCGCTTGCTTTCTCGGCGCGCCTATGCGGAAAATGGCACCAGGGCTATACTGGAGGAAACTCGCTGTTAGGACAAAAATTTCTCCAGCGTCGGATTGCTACAACGCGTCGGCGGCGCTGGCTTCCCCATGGAGCATCTCGCAGTTCCTCGTCTCGCTCTTCTGGCGCCGCGAGCTCCCGAGGCTCGACGCAAGGGAAATAATCATGTTGGGGCGCGTCCGGAGCAATAGCTTCCTGGATGGCCTGGCGCCGAGGTGCAGACCCGAGCGACGACTCAAGCTGCTCACCGCCTGGGCGACTCAGCGGCGCCTCAAATACAATCAGCGCCATCTCTTCACCCTCACGCACAATATTACAGAAGGCCATCGATCGCTCGACGCACGCCCTGGCGGCCGAGTGGCCCAGGGCGCCCCGAACAGCCCCCCGGTCCTCGTCCAACCCTGCGCCCCCGATAATAATCCCCGCGGGATAATAACGCCCAGGGGTCTGGCGG